CTTCCCTGCAGGGCTGTGGTGACACTAGATGAGAGGATGTGTGCTCCAGATGTCCGGCTATTAACATGTCTACCAATGACAGTGATAAACTGCAGAATGAGGCTCTGAGTCCAGGCTGAGCACTTGTCCCATGCCAAGCTGTCCTCTTGGGTACAAACTGTTGGCATTTGCCTCCCTGGTGGTGGTAGATTTCCCAGTCAGCCAGCTAGCCCCTGCTCAGCCATGCCACACCTGTTCCCAGAGGGCTCCCCCCACCCCTCAGGCCAGGTCCTGAGGCGCCTAAGAGCAGACCGGGCCACAGCTGCAGGCGGGCTGCCCATGGCCAGAGCCCACCCTACTCCTCTGCACACCTGCCAGCTCCCTGTCAATGGCTTCCTGACACAGTTGTGCTCTCTGGCTCAGCAGGTCTTTCCAGAGTACAAATGCCATGTGTCAGGAAAGGGAGAGACAAGGATAAATCCAAGCCCATCCCTACCCTTGAAAAAATCACAGGCAGACTTAGAAATAATTAGGGAGCCATGTAATAAGGAGGATGAGGGCAGCAAGTGAGGAGAGCATTGTGGGACGCCCAGGGCTAGGAGCATGAGGGCGCTGGGGAAAGGCCTCCAGCTGCAGAGTGTGGGAAGCAGATGTGCAGGGGCTGCCAGGATCTGGCTGCTGGAGGTGTGAGGAGTGGAGAGGGCCAGGCCCTGTAGCCCCATCAGCCCCATAGCAGCCGCGGTCACTCCACAGAGAGCTCTCTAGTCTAGACCTGGCTCCACTCTGTGGCCCTGGGCTGCTGTCCTTGGGTTCTGGGACCTGCTTCCTCTTGCTCCTCCCTGCCTCGCGCTTTCAATCCAGGGGCCTTCCACTTCACTATGCCGTGATCCAGGCCCCAAACCCAGCGACTTCTCTCTTTCCCACAAAACTTTGCATTTTGTAAGGCTTCTGGTCTCCTAGGGGGCTCCATTCCAGCAGGTCAGGGTTCTCATGGGTTCTTCTCTGACCCTGTCTCATCCTCCACCATCCTGGCAGGACACAGACCCACTCAGGCCCCTTGAGTCTGCCATTCTGCCCAAGCACTCACCACAGCACTTCCGCACCCTGGCTGCCCTTTTGTACCAGAGGCCAGGTTGCTCTGGGGCCGCTGCAGTTTTGAATCAGAACTCAGAGCTCTTCATGGTTTGTACTGATAGGCCCCTACTTCATCAGAGCCACAGCTTAGGTACCAGGGTACGTACCCCACTCCCCTTCTTCTTGGAGCAGGAGAACACACCCTAACATGCTATTAAAGGAAGAACAATGGCCACAGGGACTGGAACAGATACAACCCACCAAGGGCTGACCCCGAGCCAAGCACAGAGTTCTGGGGAGCAACACACAGCACCTTTTTGATCTTTGACACAAACTGGCGAGTCAAGGAACATAACCCGTTTTAAAGATAAAGGAAATGAGGTCAGAAGTAGCTCCATTACTACCTGAAGTCATTGGACCTATAAATGGTGGGGATGGGATTGGTGGGTGGGGTCTGTACCAGGTTCTGCCTGGAGTCTCCCCCCACCCCACCCACAGGGAGCCCCGCCAGTGTGGCCCTGGCCACTCTTCTTCTGGGAGCAGGTGATCTGGTAGGTTGGTGGCATGACCCAGGAGAAATTCAGGCCGAATCAGGAAACAACTTCTCCCACAATTTATCATGAAACCAGAGGCAATAAGCACAACCCAACAAAATGAATCAAAACAACTCGTGCTAAGTACAAATGTCCAGATAATGTCCAGAATCACCTTGATCTTGGAGCTGTTCCTGGGAGCCAATAGGGCCTCCCACCCTTGGGCTGGCCCCTCCTGGCAGACAAGGGGACACCAACTATTAAGCAGAAACAGAACAGCTCCTGTTCTCAGCCCCTGCTGCGTTCTGCATGCTGCTCCTGTCTGCACAGCCTGGAGATCCTGTACCACAACAAGCTACATGTGGTGCTTCTGACAGATTCCCACTGTGCAACATGGAGACAAGACAGACTGAAGTTTAAGTACAAGACACGGGGGAAGTATATGAGAGCTAGGCCATCTGCAGAAGCTCTCCTTGGAAGGTGAGGACATGGATTAGGTGGGATATTGGCCCTGAGTGAGACTAAATGTGTCAGGCAGTATTCTAAAGATACCCCTCAAAGCCTCATCCATGGCAATCCCACCAAACACTAAGCTAGGTGCTGCTTGAAGAGACTTTGCAGATGAAATTAAGGTAATGAGTCAGCAGACCTTAAAACCGATTATCCTGGATTATCTGGTAGGTCCAATGTGATCCCATGAGCCATTGGCCACAGAGGAGGAAGATGGAGGAGTGGGTGGGAGAGGGAGGCAGAGGGGAGGTGAGGAAGAAGGGGTTCAGAGAGTAGAAGGGCGAGAAGGGTTTGGGCTGCTGTGGCTGGCTTTGATGATGGAATGAGGGTAGGGGGAGCATGTGGCAAGGGATGCAGGTGGCTCCTAGAAGTAAGTGACAGCCATCCGGCAGCCAACAAAGAGACAGGAGCCTCAGTCCTACAGAAGTGTGGAACTGAGTTCTACCAATGCCTGAATAAACTTGGAAATGGATTCATTTCCAGAACCTCTAGAAAGAAATGCAGCCTTGCCAACATGTTAATTTCAGCCCTGTGTGACTCTAAGCAGAGAATCAGCTGAGCCCTGTTGTGCCTGGACTTGAGACAGTAAATGTGTTGTTTTAAGTGACTGAGTGTATGGCAATAATTTGTCATAGCAGCAATAGAAAATTTGTATAGGAAATAAAACCAAAGTATTGCCGTTGATCTCTTCTTATCAAAATGATGAAAAGAACCAATATGGAGACAACATACAATCCAATATTTCCTTGCCCTGTCAGGAAAAGTTGGAAGGGATGGCTGGGACTTGATGACTGTTTAATACGAATCCTTAATAACAGGTTTCTTACCTTGGCACCATAGACATTTTGGGCTAATAATCCCTTTCTGGTGGAGAGTAGGGCTGTCCTGAGCATTATGGGATGTTCAGCAGAATCCCGGGCCTCTGCCCACCAGATGCCAATAGCATCTTCCCCACCAACACATGACAAGTGAAAAGGTCTTCAGACACTGGCAAATTCCTAGGGGCAGGTCAAGTTGCCCCTTATTGGGAATCACTGCTTTGTGTAATCTTTTAAGGGCATAAGGCAAAGAAAAGTTTTTATGGGAAGAAAGAATTGATCACTTAGCTATTTCCTCAATTAACTACAGGTTTATTAAATATCCATTCACCTATAAGAACATATTGTATATTGTTCTTTGATATCCTTATATTTTTGTATTGATATATTCTCAGCTGTTATCAGCTGTTAGTCCTCAACAACTGGATATTATGACCATATACAGACATGTATACAAATTCATACATGTGTATATGTACATGATATGTATATGTTTGATATCCATTTTTTACAATTTCACAGAGTAGACATACATTACTTCCATGATCAAAATGAAATGAACATGAATTTAACAAATCTCCATTCATCAGTATTTACTGAACGGCCACTCCAGGCATGCCTAGGGCTAGGCACCTGGCGGCCCCTCCATGAAGAAGCATCAGTGCAGTAAGAGAGGCAGACAGGTGAGGTGGTGATGGATAGCCTGTGTGACAGCAGCAAGGATAGGAAGTGATTTGGGGGCCAGTGGAGACAGGGATGAGGGAAAGACCAGTACTCCAGGTCTCAGAGAGGGGAATGGTCAAGATCGGCTTCACAGAGTCAGCTGCCAGGAATCTGGGCAGGGCACTGCAGTAGTCAGCCAGCATGAGGGAAGTTGTGGTGGTGAGATGTGATGGGTCCTTACAAATGTACTCCATGCCTGAAAACTTTGGGTTAAGCAGGCATAAGAAGGACAATGTTGTTACAGGACTGTGTTGCTTGAGTTCTTACCCAAATCTGCAAGCAGCTAGGTGACTTGCTGTAAGTTCTGCCGCAGTCCATTTGGCCAGTGCTCATCAAGCCAGCCTTTCTATCCAAGCTCTGGCAGGAGCAAATCCCAGCTGACTACCCTCTGGGAGTCTCTGCAAGGAATCTGCCCCTGGGAAGGACATGCTTCCATTTCTGCACCTTGCACATGCCCATCAGAGGCTCCCTGAGCTTGTCATCGGCCCTGGAAACCCAGCCTGCTCACTCTGTGGCACTTATCACCGTTATCTCCCCGGCAGCCAGACTAGTCCTCAGCTCCCATGCTTCCTTCCATCTCTGTGTCATTCCTGTGTGGCTTGCCAGCCACCCCTCCCTATGCCTTTGTTTTGCTGGGACATCTCCTTCACTTACATCCCACACAGCAGAGTTAATCCATGAGACTCAGAGATCCACCCAGCTCTTAGACCACTCACTCTCTGGAAAAGGAAAAGAATTAGTCTTGATGAGCTACCTCACATGTGTGCAGCTCTGAGCCTTCTCTTTGCTTTCATTATCTCATTTATGCCTTGCAAGAATTGTGGGAATGGTTGCAATACAGTCCATATTAAAGATAAGAAAACTGAGGCTCACAAAGGTCAGATAACATAACACTTAGTATGTGGTCAAGTTGGAATTTGAGCACAGATCTGTTTTACTCCAAGGCATGTCCTTCATCTTCCCCACCATACATCTGCCCAGGGACCCTCAAGGTGTGGAATGGATCCCTTCAAGATGATCAGGCTTCAGGCAAGGGGCCAAGATGCTAACTACAAGGTGGTCAAGAATTCTAAATTTGAAACTGGTCTTCCAGGTATTATAAAGGTCAGTGTAGGAAGTTAGAGCACATTTCATTGAACAGCTTATTAGCTTGACTTATATCTTTTAAACATTTTCATGCAAGGCATGTGAGCTTGCATTTGTACGCTTGCTCTGAGCCCACAAATTTAGGAGTATGCATAATCTGTTTAGCTCATTGATTTTTTCATAGTGAAGGAAGATAATATCTCCCATGTGAGTGATGAAACTGTAGTTCTCTCCTGTCTGAAAATCTTTAAAGAATGATTGCAATGAGCTGTGTTACCTTTTCATGATCAACAAACTCCTGCAAAATCACTTGTCTTTCCCGACACAGTTCCAAGAAATCTTCGGAGTGCAGACTCTCATGTAAAGCAGGGAAGAAGGTCAGCTGGGTGCAGTCCACCCCCACCTCATTTGTCTTGCTCTCATCCTTTGATGTCAGCTCATCTGCAGCAGCATAAAGGGACACCCATCATTGGCATGAGCCACCTGACATCAGGAGGGATGGTGAACGGCCTGGCCTGAGTCACCCAGGGGGACTGCAAGGTTTCAGAGCAGGCAGGAATTGTGTGGCCTCAGCGTGACCCTCACTGTTTCTGAAAGTGATCACCACCCCTCTGATCCTCTGGTGACCCTTTTAGGCTGTTTCATTCAGGAAAGTGTGCCCAGGCCTGGCTGTCCTGCAGCTCTCTAGTGACCACAGTGAGACATCTCAGAATTCACCCTCATACATCAGCAAATCAGTTCCCTAGAGGGTCATCCAGAATTTGCTTTTTCTGATCTTTGTTCACTCCTTTAAAAGAGTAGGAGCTTTTCTAATTATGGGTGGTTTTTTTTTTACTATCCTCTTATCGTAAAAATAAAAGAAAACAACTTGGAAAACCCATGACACTGTGTGAGATAAAACAAGTATCACCGGTGACCCAAGGCACTGGCAGTGATACCAGCTCCCATTAGGAAGCACTTCCTCTGGATGTGTTTGATGATGTTGTTTCCTATAGTCCTATCTAGGTTAGACAGTTGATCTCATCCTCACTTCACAAATGGCAAAACTGAAAGAACCTAATTACTTTGCTGAAAGTCACATGGCTACTGAGAACTAGAAGCAGAATCTGAACCAAGTGCCTTTGAGTCCAGAGTCTGATCTGTTAAGCTCTGGGCTGTTTGTCCTCACTGTTCAGTTTGGTTTATTTAGTTCTGTATCTTATCTTGAGAAAGTGAGAGAGAGACAGAGAGACAGAGAGACAAGACCATCCTTCTGTCACAGCCCAGGATCCTCACGTCTGCACTTTGTTACTGTAGACTGGCAAAATAGCAAATTAATGCAAAACTAGGTCCCGAGTTGCTAAATGAGACAAATTTGGTCAGCGCAAAGATGCTGTCATGTGGTTAAGGATATCACACTGGTTGCAGCCTAGGAGACAATGAAACTCAGACAGGGAACATCTGAAGCAAAAAGGCAGAGTCTGGTAGAAATGTACAAAATCAGAAATAGTAAGTGTGTGTCTTTGTGTGCATTTGCGTGTTCATTTGGATGTATTCATGCCAAAATGACCTCTGAAAATAACCTAGGATATTCAGCAAATCAACTCACCCAAGTTCCTCCATGAGAATCATACGAAGAATAAGCATAGACATAAAAAAGGATTCAAAGTATTTTTTTTAGTATGGGAAATAATAATAACTATTGTATCCATCATTTTCATAATGAGAGAGTTTAGTGTAGAAAAGTATTAAATATCTATTCTATCCATTTTATTTTCATCTTGTGTGTTTTATTTTCCTTCTGTGTGTTTTGTGCCACAAGCTGAGAATGTGTCTGCTGTGTTTGGGGGCACTTTTAAGGTTTTCCTGATACAGCAAATTGACAAGATACTTCCCCTGAACTATTATTGTTGCAACCATAATATAAAAATTTTCCTCCGATCAAGTGTCTAGGTATGGAAGTTTCCTCTTCTCTCTGGAGAGCACAGTAATGAACAGTCTTAGCACTGTCTATCTAGACTTGCAACATTTTCTTCCTCAAAAAATATTAATTTTGTATCTTTAAGAATATATTAAATAAAGCCAAGAATCGGTTTAATTATTAAATGAAAAACAGATAAGCTGATAAACTGAATACCTTGGTTTTCAGCATCTGTTTGAGAAACATCACCATTTCTGTGTTGACTTTCCTGAAATGAAACCAGAGAAAAGAGAAATTAAATCCTGGCTATTACTTCCACAGATTTACAAATAGACACACTTTGATCCCTTCAAATCATGGATATACTCAAGTCTCAGAAGGAAGGGGAGAGAAATACTAAGTCCTAAAGGACCACAATAAAATGCAAGTATCAATGTTCTTGAGTCAAAGGGGAAAAAACCCACAATCTTCCATTAAGTAGATTTACAGTAATTACCAAAGATGATGCCAAAAGGGATTACATAGCATCCTGGATGTCTGTGGCATGGGCCAACCCAGAGAGAAGACCAGAAACATGGTCTGGAGATGGACCCAAAGACCAGGTTTCACAGCCAAATCTTTGCCACTAGCAAAGCGGGCAGGCTACTTATTTTTCCTGTCTCTAATACAGAAAGGTATTGAGGGAAAAACAGGATATGCCACTGGATATTTATTGATAATATATTAAAAATTCAAGTGTTTGCTGAATAAATGACATGTAATTTTTTCATTAGGTTTTATAAAGTATTTAACATGGACAAAAGATTCTGAGGTTACTGATGAAAGACTAAACCCGCCATTGTAACTTGAGAGGAACATGGAAGGAAATGTCTTGTGTTCCAGTGTTTGGAAGGCTGCCTTTCAGAATATCTTAAATCAGGATTGTTTCATGAGGATATGAAAGACTACTAACAGATTTTTCTATATCGACTCCCAATCCAGCTGGTTCCCCATGCCTTTAAAAGGCAAAAATGTGAGTTTGACAACCCAGAGTTCAAGCTTCATTGCGGCAAACTCCCAGGGACTTCCCAGATTCTGTTGCTTGGACTAAGTGGGTCACTGGATCGAATTTGCAGTAATAGCTGAGTTCAAGATATTTCCTTCGTAAAGCTGGTTACAGGATTTGCTTGGATGGTAATGTGTACAGAGGTGCTGGTTAAGACTATTCCATGACAAATACCTGGGTGCAAACAGACAATGGCCATCACGTGGCTCTTTCCAAACACTGGACTTCTGTGCATGTCAGTGTGGTACTGGGTCTGTGGTGTAGATATGAACCACTCGCTTTTCATTTGCTCACTCATTTATTCATTCATTAAGGCTGTAGTTATAGTAGCCCTTCTATGTATGTGGGAGGGGCAGTGATTCTTCTTTTCTGTTAAATGGTATCAAGAATAAATTACAGCTCTCCCACACTTAACCACACACATTCTCTCTGCTACCTGCTCAGGCTACAGCACACCTGGTGAAAGCAGCATGAGATGGAAAAACTATGGCGACACTTCCCTACATACTCCTTGTCTCAAAGCACCACTGTCCCACTGCATCTAACTCTTACCTTGACCCTTCCTGGACTCAGGGCCTCCAGTGGAGACAAGCGTCTGATGCGCTTCCTCATGCGAGCGGGTCCTTCTCTCCAGTCCAGTTCCCACTGGGAGCAGGGTGTGACTTCTGCTGGCTGGCCCCACAAGCCCAGCTCCCCGAAAAGCTCCTCCTGGATCCTAGCCCAGGCGTTGGCAGCCTTGATGTTGCCACATCTCCGCCTCTGGAGATCAGAAGCACAGTGTCACCCCTAGACACATTTCCTCATGGGCCTGGGCCCAAACCTCTTGGGTGGACAGACCAAGACACCCCCATAATTGTTTGAGAAAAGTAACTCCCTATATAGGCAGCTCAAGCATCCTCAGGGTGAGTGTATACTCTCTGGAGCCAGGACCAGGCCAGGGGAAGAAATTGGGTCCTCACCTTTGAGACCACTTAATCCAGGTTGGGGGAGGAGAAAACCATTGCCTTTGGGCCTTCAGAGCTGCATGACTGCTGGGTGCTGCCCTGAGAGCAACAGATCCCAAAGGTCCTGACACTATTGTCAGGGGTCATTGGACAGCTATTTTATAAATTGGACACAGACTCTCACCAGAACCCCCACCCTTCAAATGCGATTCTGACAATATTCCTTCCAGTGTCTGGAGTGGAGGTGTGGGAATTAGCAGACATGCCCACAATAACGGCAGAGTTGAGCAAGTCACTCCTGTCTCTAGACCGCAGACTCCAAATGCTAAATGAGAGGTTTAGACTAGATCATGTTGAAGGGTCTTTCAAATCCTAATATCATAGGATTCTAGAATATTCATAGAAGCTAAAACCTGTGATACCAATGAAAATAATCTCATGTAATATCTATGAAATCCTCATAGTTTGCATAGGTGGCACTTGAGTGTTAACACCTGCTAAAGTATAATACAAACTTTTTATAAAATATGTCGACACCCTTAAAACTGCTTTTGTTTCAGACATCATCTGTCAAGGAAACATTTCAGTTCAGCTTGGAATGCAGAATCAACTTTGCCTGCAGAGTGAAGCTTTGCAATTATTCAACTATTTGATGGTATTTGCCCTAAATTTTAATTTTTCTGAAAACTGAGAGGTGAAAGTATTAATGACAATAAGCACAGATCTTAACATAAAGAAAAAAGTAACTTATTTTCATGCATCAGGCTGAGCCCCTCACCCGCTGTGTCTCGTTTCCTCTACCCAGTGAAACTTGGCATTTGTAAATAATTTCCATCATCCTCATGAAGAAACCAATTTTAGGAGAGAAGAAGTAGCTTCTCTGAGGACCACCTGGTCACCAAGGCAAGATTTAAACCCAGCTGTCTGCTCTCACAGCCTTCGCTGAAACCTGCATGCTGGATCCCTTTCCTGGGGGCCTTCTATCATGGTATCAACTCATGACTTCTGCCACTATTACTTCAAAGACTGGCAGACTTAGATCTAGGCTCCGCAGATCTGGACCATTTTGAATAGATAAATCATTTTCAGAACTTAAAAACTCCCATGAAAATATAGCAGATAATCCAGTGCTTAGCATGTCATCTTTGGTGTTGGTTGAAACTTGAGTTATCATCACATTTCTGCTATTCACAAGCAGTTTAAGCTGATGGAGCTTCAGCTTCCCCATCAGTCGAATTGGTTAAGATTATAACAATAATAAAACCATGGGTTTATGTAAGGATTAAATGAGACAATATCTGCAAGAATTTTATATGGTTCCTTACCCAGCATAAGCAGTTAGTACGATTATTGTGAAAAAGCAAATCCTATTTCAAAACAAGATTATTTTGTTTCTCCATGGTTCTTAAATTCATATCTAAAACAGTTACAGCATTTTAAACAACAATCTAATTGGTTAATAAAGAACTCCAGGAAAATAATAACTGTCCAAAACATTTTTTTATAGGGATTTGGTTATGTGAAATGAACACTTGTTTGGGGAAAATATTTCAGCTCCCTGGAGATTTTGTAGTAGCACATGTCCATAGTAGCGCACTGAGCTTCACAGAGGTTAAACAATCCCAGGTTGTTGGGTTGTCCACCCTGGACTTCGAATTAGTCTTTTAGAGCACCCCCTCTACCCCAAGGCCCCACCTGTGTGACCTAGTGGCTCACAGCTGCCTGAGTCTTCATCATGTTGGGTATCTGCAGCCACACAGGTGTGTGCCAGCTGGTCAGATCCCTCAGAGATGAATGACTGGGTAGTCCATGATGCAAAGCTACAAAGTTTTCCCAGAACAGAGGATATGAGATGACTGACAACAGGAGCTCTGAGTTCTGGAACCTGCAAAGTGCTCTGCACATTGTGTTTCTGCACAAAGTAAGGACCTTGTTCAAACCAAAGCTCAAGTGGGCCAAATGCCATACCAGACACTCAGAGGCAGAGATTCTGGTATGTTAAAGGCAGCTATGATTTTTGGATAACAGAAACTCTTAGGTAGGATGACTGAGGTATTCCTCTGGGCAACCAGCTATTCCCTAATTTCAAGCTTTTTTGGTGGGGCTGACTCTGCCCTGGCTTCAAGGTTGAGTGTCACCCAAGACTGACTAATCTGAGGGGCAGAGAGGGGTTATAGGATAGGCTAGTGAGTATCATTCCCTGGTATTGAGAATGATGCTCTCGGGAGCTCATACAGTGGAGACAGTACAGAGAGGTGGGTTTCTGGGTATACATTCAAGGCCACCTACTTCCAAACCAAAGCACCTTCATATGCATCAGGGGATGTGCCCCATAGGGATGATACAGCCTCAAGCATGCAGCTTGGAAATGAAAAATTTTCTCTACAAGTTAGGAAATGGTTCCCCATCCTTTATGTGAACCCTGTCTAGTTCTACAATGCACCTGGAGAGCAGAACGTGAGTTTACTTCAGATTCATATGCTTTCTCATCCAAATGCTCTGGTGCATCAAACATATTAATAATCTCATACATGTGTGTATGTATATTTATGTGAACATGTGTGTGTGAGCGAGGGAAAGAGAAGAGAGAAGAGACAGATTCTTAAGAGCAGAGTTTGAATATGTGGATTAAGCTCTTGAAGCCTACACTTCCCCTGGATTTTTCAGTAACACAAAATATTTCATTTGTTGCCTAAGCCAGTTTGAGTTGCATTTCTGATACTTGGCATCTGAAAGAGCTGTGACAAAATCTTAATTGGGTGCATAAAGACTGAGCAAGAAATGGCAACAGCCTATTGGCTCCTAAAGAGCCCAAAAGAAAGTGCAACAGAGCAGTGCTCCTCTTACTAAAAGAAAGGCCATTTCTGGGGTGGCAGCATCTTGAAAAGAGCTTTAACCAATAAAGGCTGTAAAAAAAAATAGCATAGACAGAATATGATGTTTCTGTAGATTATGTGAGGACTCAATATCAGAACAGGATGGTCTGGGGATATAACAGAGTGGGATCAGAACAACTGGACCACAAAGAAGAGGACAAATATAGTTTGGAAAAGGCAAACGGGAAGGTGGACAGGGTAGAGCAGCAACTGTTTTTGCCTCTGGAGTGATGAGAAATTTGGGAGACTGAATATTAGAATTGCCCAATTTGCTGGTGATAGAATGATGGGACATGATAATGTGTGGGTTAACTTCCAGGGCACTGGGTAATGTTATCTTTTCATGCTGTGGGCTCCTGCCATCTCCAGTGACTTCGTAGTTGTGGGCAAAATGCCAAGTTAGAGAAATCTTACACAACCGATTACCAAGAGCCCTGTGGGCCAGGACTCCTGAATCTCATTGTTGCCACCCTCTTGGGTAGACCTCTTTGAGTGCACCTGGGGCAAGCTGTCCTTGAAGAACATGGCAGGTTTCAGAAGCCTAATTTCTTTCCAGAATTTGAGCTTGACTTTAGAAAAGAGGTGGAGCAGGGCCTGCACTGGCAAAGTTCAAAAACTTTAAAAAAGGAGGGTACATGCTCCAGAACCATTTGGTGATTACCTCTGCATTCCTTTAAACTTTGAAATAATCTGTCTTAAATGTTTAAACACTCGGAAAGTATCCTTATGAATTAGCCTTAAAGTGCTGATTTTCTTGAAAATACCTCAATCAACAGTAAAACTGTACAACTTTCTCAAGTACTGTCTGAACTCTCATCAGGCCCACTGCTGAAAAGGAGCCAGGCTGACATTCTGGAGGCTGGATCCATTCCCTCTAGGCTCAGAGCCTCTGCTGAGGTTCTATCCTTCCCATGTGAACTTTCAATCTTGCAGCAGAAACTCTTGAAATACCACAGAGCACATCTCTCCTGACCACAACCAAATTGTCCAGGCCCTCCCAACCAGAGGAAGAGAAATGGTCACACTCTTAACTGGATGCAGATTGGGGAGTTTAGATACATAACATCCACTACCTTGAAATATAACAAATGCAATGAGGATGGCCATAAGTGAAGGATGCAATCCTAAAAATTCATCTTAGTTTTCCCCCAGTAGCAATTGAGTTTATTAGGCATATTGCTAGTCTTGAAAGAAGTATGTGAATACAAGTGGTGGGGTGTGCAAGGACCTGTCCAAAGGGCACGTACAACACCCAATAAACCGGCAAAGCACCCACCCAGCTGTGCAGTGCAGTCAGCAACGTTGGGGGTAGATAGGTGCCCGTAGTGACAGTTTCTTTGAACTCATTTCTCAATTCTCCAAACTGACAGTTTGTGAAAGAGTGGCCAGCTTGTGCAATTAGAGAAGCCAGACATGCCTGCTGATGGCTGTGCCAGTAGCATGTCCTACACCTCCCCAAACCTGTACCTTGTCTGATAATTGCCTCTGTCTTTACTCACAGGATAGCTCAGAGGCTGTGTTCCTAGACTAAGTGTTTCTGGGGTACAAGCTCCACAACCCAAGAATTTCTATTCCCAGCGACACATTATAGGCTCTCAAAGGAACTTATAAGGATGGAATTTAACCAGGTTGCTTGGCTTAAGTTGATCAGAGCCTATTTTATTTCCTCCATTTGGGCACCACTGTTTCCACCATTCTTTGACCCTTCCCCACACCCTAGTCTCACCCAATGGTTCTTTAACTCCACTGCTCCTCTCTTCCTAGTAGGACATCCTACTAAGAAGTATTTGCCTCATCATCTTGTTTGTGGAGACTTCTTTATTCTTAGGCCCTCTCTTGCATTTTAAGAACCTTCAAGGCAGAGCAGTGCTACTATAATCTCTGCCTTTCCTAGCCTAGCACAGGTGCTGGAACAGAGAAATTGTAAAGTAAGTAATATAATTAGTAAGGTTTTAATACTGTATATTGTGTTCTATTGTTAGCAAGCATTTTTTAAAGTTTTCATTAAAAACAGCAATTAAAGAGTAAATTCTTAGCCATTCCATAACCACTTAAGGGATAGCTATTCCCTGCCAGCCAGTATAGGTGCTCTATACTTGCTCTTTAATCTCACAGGTAGGCAGGATTATCCCATTTTGGAGATGAGGACCCTGAGGCTCATACACAGCCTAGGAAGTGAAAGACCTGAGATTCAAATAGAGTTCTCACAGCCATGACACCCAGTGCTCTTTACCTAGATGGTGCAGACATCACACCCGCAAAAGTGTTCTTAATATCTAAACCTGCCCTCATCGTGGCAACCACTGCATTTAGGATTAAAAAGCAAAATCCCCATCGTGGTAGCAAGCCCTGTCTGCTCAGGCCCTGCCTCACCTTTACCCTCACCCTTTCCAGCTCAGCTCATTCAGTCACTTCTTACAGTTAACGGATGACAAACAGCTGTCTCCTGACTAAGGCTCTTCATGCATACCTCCCCCACTCCCAGCCAAAAACACTTCCTCAGAATACTTTAACCCATATTCTTCCTTCTGCAGATCTCAACTTAAAGGTCACTGTGCTAGAGGGTGCCTCTGATCAGCCCAAATTAAATGTGTTCTCCATTATAACTTCTCCTTGTTTCTGTATTTTCCATGTCTATTGCTCATCACAAGTAATAAAGACCTACTTACTTGTGCAATTGTTGAATGTCTATCTCTCCTTTAGGTTCCCTCACTGAGAGTAAGGCACATGTCTGCTGTGTTGAAAATTGTGCCCCTAGCCAACAGCACAAGGTGATATACCTATTTACTAGTGCATGAATGAGTAATTGAGAGGTGGACACACTGTCTTTCTCCTCAGCTGCTGACAGTGTGTGTACAGATCCATCACACAGTTCACACAAGTGGGACTGAGTCACTGATGACCAATCATTGACTTAGCCAATCTAGAACTCCAGCTGGAGGCCATTCTGATTCTGTCACTTCAAATTCAAGGTAGATTCCAGTTCACTGTGTAGAGAAAGGAACTGTTTTGTTTCTTACTTGTAAATGATCTTTGTATAAAGATGCATATAGTTCCTGTCCTCTTCTTCTGTAGTTCTCGATACATGACACAAAATTCTGAAAAAGAAAGAAAAAAGTCACAGCTTAATGATAATTGTGATTTTAGATAAGAACTTATATATTCTGACCAACTGCCAGGGAAATAGCAGCTACAGGATTTGTTGGTCAGATCACTCACAACCTCATGAATAAAGAAAGACTCCACCTATGCTTATACACTCACATACACACATAAGTGTTTTTAGGCTACTTCCCCTTCTGGCTATGATGAGCTAGCTCATAGCAGATCTATCTTCTAAGAATAATTAGAAAAGAGATTGAGTAATCTGCTTTAAGATAGCAAACAACTACTAAGAAAGCCAAGATGTAAGGAGCCGAGTTTGTAGAGAAAAAAAATCACTCAGATGTGCCCAGTATCTGTCCTTGTTGGTTATTTTTTTTCTTTACCCTAGAGCTATTTGCAAGTTTTCAGATAGCACAAGAGACTGAGAAGCTGAGAAGAAAGTGGTGGCTAAAAGGAGAAAAGCTTAACACAACTTTTGGCACTCTCGGGTGGCTAAAGAGACAAAAATTGGAGAGCGGCTCCATCACGGCATCCAGGACCTAATGGACCACGAGTCTGGCAATAGGAGAGTAAAGACAAATAAGCCCAGATTTCTGTACTGATGTTCCCCTTTAAGCTGCTGATTCATAAGCAGTATGGGGCTGCAAGGTAGAAAAGGTAGATTAAGCTTCCACCAGTCACAGTTTGTAGAAGCCAACAAGAGCTGGGTTTCAGTGGGGCTATCTTCTGGGCTGCACCACAGGATAAAGGTAGACTGGGAATAGACCAGGTCTTACAAAGCTGAAACTCAGCCTCAAAGTACATTACAGTGATCTTCTCTGACTCAAAGACGTGCCAGAAGACAAATAAAATTCTTTCTGGAGAAGCATCACGTCTTGTCAAGCCTCTAATTGAGAATTTTCATACAAAAAGCTTGGTAGTCAAGCAGAAAATACTAGACATACCCATAAAAAGGACCAATAGAAAAGTAGACAATAAAAACATACCCACATGTATCCAGATATTAGTTATCAGACATGGACCTTAAAATAATGAAAGTAGAATGCTCTAAAAAAATGTAATATGGAGAATATTGCAAAATGTGTGGAATCTATGAAAAATAACTAAATAAAAATTCTTAATCAATAAAATGAATTAATATTTCACCTCACACACTGAGATGCATTGCTAGCAGAACCATACTAAGCAAAATACTAAAGGAGCTTTTTGGTAGAAAGAAAAAATGATATGGTAGTATGAAACTTTGGAATGATTATGAAGCTATGGAAATGATAATTATGTTAGGATATCTAAATGAATATTGGCTGCTGGAAGATAGTAACTATAGCCATGTAAGGGTTTTGAAAAAAATAAAGCATTAAAATATGTGAAAAAATAGCAGAAGATGGATGGGGTAAATGAAATAAAGTACACCAAGTCTCTTTAATTAAAAATTTAGAAAAAGGGATCGACTTACATTAAAATCTAATAAAATAAGTGTGCATGTTGTAATTTCTAGAGCAACCAACTAAAAACATTATAAAAGAATCTGTAACTTTCAGCTAATAGAAGGGAAGCAGACTAATTTAAAATAGTTGCTAATATGTTGAAGGAAGAAAAAAAGGAACAAATAACAGATATTACAAACAGAAAATGAACATCAAGATGGTTTTAAATTAAAAATATTAATTACATTAAATGTAAATGGACTGAATGCTCTAAATACAAAATAAGCAGAATCAGAATGGGATCATAAAGCAAAACTTAAGTAAATGCTGCTTAAAAGAGACACCCCTTGAAAATAAGGACAGAGAAGTTGGATATAAACGTTTGGAAAAAGATAAACTGTACAAACACTAACTAAAATAAATCTGGTGAAGGCATACAACTGTCTCATGAAGTAGCCTTAAGGTAAGAATTATTACTACATAAAGAAGGATGTGCCAAAAGGATAAAAGGGTCAGTACACAGGGAAAGTGTAAGTTCTAAATGTGAAACATGAAATAATAGCTTCAAAATATATAATACATAAAATGACAGAACTAAAATGAGAAACAAGCAAATCTACAATCATAGAGGAAGGTGTTAACTCATCTCTCAATAACTAATAGAATAAGCTGACAAGAAAGAGATACAGAAAATTTGAAGAATAGAGAAACTTGATCTAATTAAATGTTTAAAAAATGCAGAATACACAAATAGAACCACTACTAAAATCTACCACATGACGGAACATGAAGCAAATGTAAAATAATTTCAAATGGCTGAAGTTATACAGATTATATTTTTCTGAACCTCATGGAATTCAGCTACAAGAAAATATCAAAAAGAAAATCCTGAGATATTTAGAAATTAAAAAATAATATTCTAAGTAGCCCATAGGTTAAATAGAAATCAAAAGGGAAATTGTTAGGCTGGAGGAAGGAAAAACAAGGACATGCAAACAGAACAGAGATATCATGAAAGGAGAACAGACCAGACCGCAAGGTCCGTGCCTTATATGGAAAGGGGACAGCTCTTCCTGAATTCCATCCTTCTGATGTGCCAACTAAGACCCGGATGTCACCCTCCTCCCTCGTGAAAGGAAAAAAGTTTCTAGTTGTCTATTATGTCACCTTTAGCCAATCATACCTCTCCACACCCCCTAGGATAGCTTGCTCACTCCTCCCCCTCCTAACCCCTTATAAACCCCCACCTCCCTGACAGGGTGTGACCTCTCAGGCCTGTAATACTCAGGCCACATCACCCGGGAATTGGCTTCAAATAAACTGCCTGGCCCTTTGTTGCCCCTCATCGCCTGCTTATTTCAGCTAGAATTTATCTTACAGAAATTAGAAAATATTTTAGACTAAATGAAAATGATGAAAACACACTTGATAGAAGTAAAACTTCTTGTGGGAATATATGTAAATCATGAATGGTATTTATTAGAAAAAAATAAGCCTAGAAATTAATCATATAAATCAAGAAATTTGGAAAACAATTTGAGACCAGGAAAATACATTTAAAATGCTCCAGAAAGTGTGATTAAAAAATAAAGAAAGCAGACAAACTTACCAGGGACAGGAGAGATGAAAGGAGATATCATTCCAGATCCCACAAACATTTAAAAACTCATATTGAGACAGGGACTGTTGGTATAGTCAGAGTAGAGTGAGGGCCTCAGGAAAAAGCAAGGCAGAATATTTGCAGAGAAATGTAACTACATGCAAGGAAACCCCCTACTAAAACTCTGTGTTAAACGTTCAGCTCTAGAGTCATTCTTCAGTGAGATCAGTTGGTATACCCTCAGATAAAGAAGAGTAGCACATGTTTATTTTATACTAATCATTTATAATCATGTGCAAGATTCACTTTAACATGCTAAAAGGCCCAGGCCTATGTGCTGTCTTTCCTCCTTCAGATCTAATGAGGTGATTTTGCAAACTGGGCAAACTAATTTAGCCTGCAAGCCCAGCCATAACATAGTAAAAGGCAGGAAGGATTCCACCTTAAAGATAAGATTGCACTTAACTTACTCTTTAGCAAACAATACCTCACCTCAGCCCACCTTGGGGTCAGGCTGAGCAGGTGGCCTTGTTTCATATGCCCCCAGACCAAGATGCTGGTATCTCAAGGAGAAATCAACAGAGCAGAGGTTACTTGTAAATATCCTAGGACCACTTAGTAAGTCCACACTTCTAAGCTTTTTTTCATGTTCTCAAAAAATTCTCATCTGCCTATAAAACCCCTAGACAAACGCACCGACCCGGACTCTCTTGTCCCCTCCTGGCGTGAGCCAGGAGCTCTGTCCTTTCACGTTATTTCTAAATAAAAGCTTGTCCCTTGCTCTCTTACCTTGAGTGTTTGTGAAGCTCAATTCTTTGGCTTCGTGAACAAGAACTCCGACATCAATATGAATAATGTTATGCTTACACTTTATGAAACTTGGATGAGCTAACACATCTCCAGGAATACACAACTTACCAAAACTGATACAAGAAGAAAGAGAAAATATGAATTGTCCACTGCCTATTATAGAAACTAAATCCATAAATAAAATTCTTCCCTCAAAGAAAATTTCAGGCCTGAGCATAAATGGGCACTGGTGGATAGAGAAAAAAACTTGGGAAAATAAAACCCAAATGGAATCAACAATACATAAAAGCATTATGTATCATCACAAAATTGGGTTCCTTCCAAGAATATAAATTTGCATTAACATTGAAAACCATTCATTGTGATTCACCACATTTATGAATTAAGGGAGAAACATCAAATGATCCTCTCAAAAGATGTAGAAAAAGCATTTCATAAGTGCAATAACCATTAAGAATAAAAAGACTTAGCAAATTAGGAAGGGAAGATAACTTCCTTATCTGATAAAGGATAGCTACAGCAAATCTGAAGCAGACACTATTAGTTTTGCTCTAAAATCAGAAATGAGCCATGAATGTCTACTATCACCATTTCTTGTCAACATTTTAATGAGTATTAACAAGTGGAATGGAACAAAGAAAAGAAATAAAAGGTATTAGTTTTGAAAAGGAAGAAATAAAACTAAAATTTCAGAACAACTAAAAAGGAATAAAAGGTATTAGTTGTGAAAAGGAAGAAATAAAACTAAAATTACAATAAACTATTCTATATATTAAAAATGCAAAGATATCCATAGATAAAATATTATAATTAAAAAGAAAAGTTAGGCAAGGCCCATGAATACAAAACCTAACTATATGCATATATGCTAACAACAATTTTTTTTAAACACAAAAATTTTTAATTATGTACTAATTGCTTTAGAATTAAACAGTATCAGATACTTAGAAATAATTTAATGAAAGATGTTCAAAGATCCCTCAAAGAAAACCATAAAACACAGTTGAGAAAAGTTAAAGACATAGTAAATAGAGGGATACACCATTTTCAAGGTTTGAAAGACTCTTGAAGCTGTGACTTCTCCCAAATTGATTCAATACAATGTCAGGTGAAATCCCATCAAAATTCTTTTTTTTTAATGAAATAGAGTAAAAAT